CCTCATGTTGGGCTCCCTGGCCTACCGACCCCCGTCCCTGGCCTCACCGGCCTACCCAGACCCATCCCTGGCCTCACTGGGGGCATCCGAGGGAACTGGTCTTGGGGTGTGGGGTGGGGGATGATACGCGGTGCAGGATCTACATGGACCCTGTGGCTGGGCGAGGGTGCGGGAGACATCAGAGGTGAATGTGCTCTTGCGGTGGAGAAACGTGAAGCACATGAAGCACGGGGCTGGCATTCGCCACCCGGCATGTGCCCGGCCCCTCCGCAGGCGATGCCCTGGCCCGGGCCTCAGGGCAGGCCACAATCAGCCTTGTGAACATGAGAGCGCCTTTCCCCAGGCCAGTGGATATCAAGCTATTAATAGTTGTCAACATGCCGGGCTGGAGATTATCTGTCAGCCTGGAGACAGTCGCTGCGCCCGGCCAGAGCGATCCCAGTCTGGCAGCGCTCCCACAACAGCGGGGCTCTGGATGCGGGGAGCAGGGGACCTGGCATGGCCGAGCGCCAGCCACCCATAGCTACCTGTCCCCATCCCTTGCCAAGGTGGGCTTTAATGTCACAAGGAGCATGACAGGGTTCCCCAAATTCCCAAGTGACTTGCAGCCGTGTCACTACGCACGGGGAAATGCTCTTTGCTTCCTCCCTGGGTGCTGAGCAGAGCCAGGCTGGGTGATGGCGGGGATCTGAAATGCTCTTGGGAGAGCTGGTTAATTTGGATGCATTTTGCAACACATGGGTCAAAGCCCTGGCTGAGAGGGAACAAATCTGGAGGCTTGTTGGGTGTCCCCGAGGCTGGGAGGGAGCCAGGCTGTGAGATGCTTGCGGCCACTGGGGCTCAGAGGTGAAGGATGGGGGCTGGAGCCAGTGGGTTTAGTTTTTAAAGTGCTTTGCATAACTCCAGCCTCAGAAATAGGGCTGAAATAAATCGGCCCCTCACTGGCCAGGGAATGCCATGCGAAAAGGCAGTGGCGGTGGGGATTAGCAGTGGGGTGGCAGTCCCAGGCAGGCACGCTGCTGAAAGCTGGCTCTGTACTGGGAACCTGGCCCTGCTGAGCCGGCTGCAGTCCCGGGCCCAGGGGACCAGGGCACAGCCCAGCCTTCCTCTGCCTGGGGAAACTCCTGGCTCCCCCTGGCACGCTTTGGGCACACTGCAGCCATTGCCAGCTGGCCCCAGCACGCAGCGGCTGCGTGCCCACTGCTCCAGGGAACTCCTTGCAGCCAGCCCCCTCCCGTGTCACTGCTGTGAGCCCCCCTGGACAGACCCGATCACCCAGAGGACCGGGAATCCTCCATGGCTGTCCCATGCCCACGCCACCCACCCACCTCCACCAGCTCCCACCAGGCACAGGCTGTCCCTGACCCCCATCCCAGGCTTGTCCATGCTCCAGTTCTCCTCTCCAGCTCACCGCATGAGGGAAAAACCCTAACAAATGACTCACATCATGAAAACGGGCTCTGCCCAGCACACAGGCAACAGGCAGGGAGAAGAGATGCCTGCAAGAGGGAGGACGAAACCCTCCTCCTAAACCCACAGGATATATTGGTGATCCCCTGGGCTGGGGCACCACAGAGAACCGGAGGCTGCAAAAGCAGCTGGGGGCCACTGAGGAGCTCCTGCACAGGCAGCCTTGTTTGTCTAAGCTGGCTGCTCGCTTTGCAAGCCAAAGGTCATAAAATTATCATTGCAATTGGTTGAGTCATTGCTCCTACAATAGCAACACCAAGGCCTTAACAGAGCTGGAGAAGCTCCTGGCACACAAGGAATTTTACCAGCCTAGTTGGTGTCAAAGGGGGCTCTGGATGGTTGTCACCATCCCTGGGAACAGGCAACCCTAGGTACAGGGACCTTGGGCCAACCAGCCCTTGTCTGAGTGCTGTTGGCATGGGCACTGGGAATGATGTGGTAAGATAAGACCTTTGGAGTTGAGATTGGCTCCCCTGATGGACTCAAATGACCCAAATGTTGCCTGATTGCCGGCAGCATGTCCCCAGCCCCGGCCCCCCACCAGCACCCAGGGACAGAGCTTTCCCCCAGGGGAACAGGCTCCCGGTTTGCTTTTGGCAGGGGCATCGTGGGGAGCTCAGCTCCTTTGCCCAGCTCCTCCCGACAAAGTGCTGCCCACGGCATGGCTTAGCCAAGGCCATGTCACTGCCACAGCTCACAGGCAGAGAGCCCCTGTGGGTTGGCGTCCCCCACCAAGCCGCTGGTGGGCAGGATCACACCAAAACCCTGGGCGGGTGCTGTGCCAGGGTCCCATCCCGCTGTGGAGGCATCTGGAGGCTCCAGGGTGGCAGCAGCCCTCACTGGGACTGCTGCTGCTGCTGCTCCCACGCTGGCAGAAAGTGGGAAGCACCACTGGGAGAGGACAGGGAAATAGCAGGAGCAGGTTGGGGGCTGCACGGGGGTGGGGGGACCAGGGGAGGAGGGATGAAGGGCAGAGCTGATCACGTGTGGTGGCAGCTCATCTGCTGTCATCTCAAGGGGTTTGCCCAGCTCCAAGAGACAAGGTGCAGCAGAGGCTGCAGGAAACCAGTCCTCCCTGCTTTTCTCACCTGCAAGATCAATTATGAGCCAGCCATCCTCCTCCTCCTCCTCCTCAACAAAGGGCTTGGGCTCCTCCAGGCCTTCTGGCGTGTTGCTGTCACTGAAGAAGAGGCTGGTGAGACGCTGAAACATGGTGGGGAGTGGTCCAGCAGGATGGACGGTGAGTTAGATCTACTGCTGAGCACCGGGTTCCAGGCGCGGAGGTGGGAGCGACAGGCAGCGAGGGGAAAAAACAGCACTCGAGGTCTCGGTGGTGGCGGAGATGCTTTACTGCTAACGAAGTTGTAGCTGAGTTAAATGGCGTGTAGTGCAATTCTGAGGTTCTTCACTCTGCGTCAGTGCAAAGGCCTGCAGAAGGGAAAGAAAAAAGGAATAATGCATTTGGACTGCTTGGCAGTGTGGCCCTCCTGCATCCCGGGGGGCTCAGACAGGCCCGAGGGGACAGAGAAAAGGCGGCTCTGGCCATGAGCTGTCCCAGCTGCTGGCATCTCCCAGGGTGCCATGTCTGAAAGCATTAGCCAAGGGCTAGGTGCCCACACCCTGCAGCCCCCTGCCTGCACCCATCCCTGCATCGCATCCCCTTCCCCACGGGCGGCGCGTCCCTGGGGGCCCATCTCCAGAGCTGGCGGGGGCAGAGCGGAATGCTGTCCCAAAGTCAGGCTGGGACCTGCCTCCCCCAGCACCGAGCGGGCTCTGAGCATGGCTGGTGGCACCGAGCTTTGCTGGAAGGGCAGAGGGCAAAGGGCACAATGCTACTGTCCTATCTGAGGACCGATGGCATGGGACTTCCCTAAAACCCTCCACTGGCCCACTGACAGCCACGCGAGTGTGGCCACCCGCCCCTCCTCAAGCTGGGTCTTGAGAAGCCCTTGCTAGTGTTTCGCTCGAGCCCTGCCTGTGCCGATCCCTGCTGGAGGTTGGTTTAATTTTGACAGTTGTTACCATTGCTCTGTGTGTGTGCGTGCCTGCCTGCCTGCCTGCCTCCCTGTCTGTCTGTCTGCTGGGATGCTCTTCCAATGCAGCTGCGTTTCGCTGCCAGGCTCCAGCCCCAAAAGGTGACACTTTCACAGGTGTCACCACGGCTCCCTCACAAGGACCTTACGAGGAGCCATGGGACAAAGTGCTGGGCTGTGCCTCGGCCCCAGGCGCACAGGCATTGGCAAGCACGTCCCAGCCCTGGGCGAGTCTCTGCTCCATCCATGCTCCTCACTGTTTCACCCCTGGGGAAGCATGTTCCTCGCAGCTCAGGGGAGGTTAGGACTCACTAATTTGATCAATGGCTGCCAAGTGCTCAGAGCAGCCCAGACAGACAGCAGCCACAAGGTGCAGAGTGATATTTGTGCAGAGAAAAAGCTTTTTGGTCCAGAGACATTAATGGACATTAAAATGCCATCGAGAGCTGGATGTGGGGACAGCTGGGTGCTGCCTCACTTGGCATGCGGCCATGGGTGCATTTAGAGGGCAAACCCCCAGGCCATAGCTCTGCCAACCAAGGTGGCGTAGAGCCTGCAAGTGGTCCTGGACCCTGGAGTGGAGGCCCTGGGCAACATGGAGTGGGAAGGGTGCAGCCAAGTGGCATCTCCATCCTCAATGGTGCTGGGGAGGGCAGCTGGCCTGGGCTCTTGCTGCAGTTCCGGGGCTCAGGCACGTTTGGATTTATTCATCGTGGGATTGCTGTGCCTTTTGGCTTCTCCTAGGTGCCTCAGAACGTATAACATCTGCTGCACAAGGCAGAAGATAGAAAAATCAAGGGGAGCCTTTCGCTACGGGTGGGATCCCCTGGGCTTTGGAGCTCATCCTGCATCTCTGCTGCGCTGGAATGCCAAAGGGCGTGCTGGCATGTGAAGGAGCCCCACAATACCCAGCTCTCCCTCCCCGGCATGGCTGGGCCAGCAGCGTGACACCACCTCTCCCCTTGAGCCGGTCGCAAGCCCCAGGTGACTTCAGTTGCCCCAAAGGTGCAAGGCAGACCATGTGGCTACAACCATGCCTGGCTCCAGAGCCCGTTATCCTCCAGTGCACTCACGATTACCTAATCCAGACACCCCCCTTCCCTGGAACATTAAAGCATAATAATGTAAGTTAGGGAGCCAACGCAAAGAGGGGCTGATATGCAGCTGGGCAAGGAGTGGACACTGGCCCATCAGGCTCTCTCACATGCTCCATGCTGAGCGCAGTGGGGATTTCCCTCCCATGGGACTCGCATGTGGATCTGTCCTCCCCCGGCCATGCTTCGTTATGCACCAGTCCTCCCCACCTGCAGCCTGGAATCTGGCAGCTGCCTGCAGCGCCTGCCTACTTATTAAATATCTTTTAATATTATATTACTGTTATTACTATTATTTCTTTAATAAATGTATTAAATATCTCATTGTTGCAGAACCCCTGTTGGTCCCAGGTACCTGCTGGTGATGTCTCAGGGCTTCTTCCCACCATTTGCTGGTCCCCAGGTCCCCAGGCAGGAGGGAGAGGGGCAGGAAGTACCCAGCAGCCTAGGGGGGGTCCGTCCCCCCAAGGCCACCACAGCCCCAGTCCGGTGGGTTCATGCATTTTCTGAGCCGGGTCAGCTGCACCTGCAGTGTTCCCAGGACGGCAGCAGTACTGAGCCAGGGCTGACCCCAGCATCACCGTGCAGCTTCTTGGGGTGACATGGCAGGGTCCCCTGTGCGGCACCCTGAGCCTGCCTCGCTGTGGAGGACACTGGAAACGCTCTTGGCCTGCTCTGGCCAGTGGCCTACAGGCAAATTTCATTTTCCCCCCCCAGATGTGCATGGCACACAACAAGAGGGGGCTGGGGACAAGAGCTGGCATAAGGGGGACAGGAGGAGCCCAGTGGCCCCAGCCTGGCTACAGTGGGAAGGTCGCCCAGAAAAGCACCCAGGTAGCTACTGCAGGCCAGGGGCTGAGCCAGGCAGAGATCTTCCCCGTCACCTCAGCAGAGCCAGGCTGGAATGAGCCTGCTGCTGGACTGTGGGCTGGCTCGGCACACTCAGCCCTGCCCAAGCTCCTTCCTGGATGGCACCAGAGCGCTCCCCCCAGTCTGCAGGCTTGGCTTGGAGAGCCCCCAGCAAGGAGTTTGTCCTCGAGCGAGTTCAAAGCCAAATGACAGATTACGCTGTCAAAACAGAGAGCAGAAAACTTCTTATTTTTATTTTGTTAAAACTTGACAGCAGCTTTCACTGGACGGTAGCAAAGTCAGTCTCCCCCTCCGCCCCCTGGGAGAAGCGCTCATTCCCCCCACACCCGCCAGCTTAGAGTCCACAAAAAATCACAGAGAAGTCAGGAGCTGAAGCACCTGGGCTCCACAGGTACCCACCCTAACCCGAAGATAGTGTTCCTTTCCTAAAGACACACGGCACAGCAGGTAATTGCATGGATAGTTGCCCCTCTCCCAAATTTAACTTAATTTTCTTTATCTCTGTAACTAAAGGCCCTGGGATAACCACACTCCCATCACACACAGCTGACGCCATGATAACGGAGCTGTCAGGGGCCGTCCTGCTCCAGAGCAAACCCACGGCGTACCACGGGGCTGAGGCAGAGGGCAAGGGGGCTCGCGAATGGGGCAAGGGGGCTCCAGTGGCAGCAGGAAAGAGTTAAAAGCTCCCCTAAGAGCAAAAGTCAAGATGGATCGTTTAAAGAATCATCCCCCAAAGAATTTAAATGAGTCACCAGCTACCCCCGTCTCCATGCCAGGGAGTGTGGGGTGGCCCCAAACCACCCACTGGTGTGAGGGGCTCCATGCTGTACTGGAGTGCACAGGGGGCTACATGGGCAGGGCAGAGCTTGCAGGATCAGCCCCTTGGATAAAGCTTCTCCCCACAAGCTCCTGCTGCCTGGGGACACCACAATCCCAAATAGGACCCTGGGGAGGTCGGCTTGCTGGTAAAACGTGTGAGAGCAACCATGGGTTGGCAGCAGCGTGGACGAAGCCGGCAAAGCCAGGGTGCTGCGCTGTGCCATGATCCCCGCAGAAGGGCTGCCCGGGGCTGCCTGGCCAGACTCTGCCTTGGCTGTCTGTCCTGGCCAGAGCACGAGCCGGGCAGAGGGACAGACAGACCTCGTGGGAAGAGAGCAAAGGCTTCCCGAGAGTCAGAGCAGCCCTGCCGGGGACGGACCCAGCAGCACTTGGGGAGCTGCGGGGGAGCTCCTGCCAGCGCAGCTGGCAAAGCCCTCAGCCCCAAACCTGCAGGGTGGAGGCAGGAGCTAGAGCCTGGCAAGCAAGGACCAAAGTGAGCTTTAATCCTCACCCTCGCTTTATCCTGTCTGCTCCGAAATCCGTGGCAACACTGTGTTAAAGAGGCAGGATCAGGCTCTCTATCTCTGAGACGCACCCTCAGCAGGTTTGCGGCTGAGGCCACGCTGCGTGGTGCAGGCGATTCGCCAGCGGGATGGGATGGCATCCGAAGGGACCTTGGCAGGCTGGAGGAGCGGGCTCAGGTGATCCTCATGAGGTTCAGCAAGGGCAAGTGCAAGGTCTTGCAGGTGGGCTGGGGCAACCCCCAGCACTGGCACAGACTGGGGGACGGGTGGGTTGAGAGCAGCCCTGCAGAGAATGGGTTGGGGATGCTGGTGGGTGACAAACTGGATGTGAGCCGGCCACGTGCGCTGGCAGCCCAGAAAGCCAAGGGACAAGGGAGGGGATTCTGCCCCTCTGCTCCACTCCAGTGAGACCCCCTGGAGCCCTGCACCCAGCTCAGGAGTCCCCAGCACCGGACAGACATGGACCTGTTGGAGCAGGGCCAGAGGAGGCCACGGAAACTGTCTGAGGGCTGGAACCCCTCTGTGATGGGGGAAGGCTGGGACCATTGGGGAGGAGGCTGCGGGGAGACCTGAGTGCAGCCTTTCACCATATAAAGGGGGCTGGTGAGACTTAGAAGAAAGAGAGAGACTTTTTACCAAGGCCTGTAGTGACAGGACAAGGGGCAACGGTTGTAAACCAAAAGAGGGCAGGGTTTGAGTGGACATAAGGAAGAAATGTTTAATGCTGAGGGTGGCGAGGCACTGGCCCAGGCTGCCCAGAGAAGCTGTGGATGCCCCATCATTGGGAGCGTTCAAGGCCAGGTTGGATGGGGCTTTGTGAGCAACCTGATCCAGTGAAAGATGTCCCTGCCTGCGGCAGGG